CTGTTTCTACGGTTGATTCATGCATTCATATTCAAAGATTATTCATTACCTAAAGCAAAACGTACAATAGAAAGCAGATTTTATACAATACAATTATAAAAGTTCAATAATAACGAGTACAAGAACAATGATATAATTGATGATTGAAAAATCGAAATTTCATGCACTAAGTTCTTACATAAGATTTCGACAAATCGAAACTGATCACTACGATAATTAGCCGAAAAACTTTATAATAAAAGAATAACAGCTTGGTTCTGTAAAAACAAACTTTATTTCAAAATAATAAGTTAAACTGATAGAAAAGAATTAAAATAAGCAGAAATAATTTAACAGTTTTGAGATTGTACGTATATGGATTGTTTTTCTGATATATTTGTACTGTTACTCATTAAAATATCTATCTATTATTAAACTTATCGTATCAAAAGATTATTATGACGTTGTAAATAAACAGCTATGGAAAAAGTGTTAAACATATCAATCAGTGTTTAAATTATAGTATGCATCTGCTTCATTTGATGATACATTCGTAACTAGTACTTCTGTTTACAACGAATAAACAGACATGATTGTAACTTCTTAACTAATATTCTTTTGTTTTGTATCTATGTAGCTTATTTTTAGTTAATTATCAGCTTTACGTAACATTATTAAGTCAATTACGCATTTATACTTGAAAGTTCGAGCCTTTGTGCTTTTGTTTTGGATTTTTTTGACTATTTTTGCATGGCATGAACTGTCGTTCAGCAAAAAAAGTGGATATTGATAATGAATATTTCATCCCGGTTTTTTTATAAAGTCATAGACGATCTGTATTTTGTTCGTACCTATCAAGCTGTACTTGAGTATATTTCTACTTTTTTCTGCTTTGAATCGTTTCTTTTTCAATGAGTTTGCATCTAAAAAACAAATCGCAAAAATGCATCTCCATACGATTCGATTCAATTTAGGTGTCTGTACGACGTTCTCATTTCTATTTTGCTAGTTCCTTCTTGAGCCATTTGAGAAATTAGCATTAGATAATACTTTTGATGCTTTTGATCACTTTTCTTTTTTGAACTTGAGAAAGACCAGTTTCAATGATGATCTTTTAAATGCTATTGCTCATTTTCTATTTTGTAGAATTCACATAAATTTTCGAAGAAAATGATAAGTATAACTTTAAGAGCGAGATTCTGCTGCTTCTCCCTTTCATCTATCTCCATTACAGACTTTAGTAACCAGGGTAGCCTTCCCATTGCAGACTTTAACAACCGAGAATAACGGGTATCAGACTTTCTAAATTTTTTTTGAAAAATTAACCAAGTTTTAGTTTTGAAAAATGATAAATATCATTGTTTATGAGTTGATTAATATATATAATAGTGTGTAAGATCTGATGTACATATCATGGACAAGTAAAACAGACTTATTTGTACATTAATTCAATGATTGAGATGAAAAGAATGTTAAATTAAGAAAAATGAATTAGAAAAAATGAAAAATAATGAGGGAACAGCATCAATTCAAATAAAAAATAGGGCGTCTGTAGAAAAAATAAGCAATTTTTGTTCAAAATACAGAAATTAGAGAGGTGCTTACTCTCATGTTCAAATTATCCTGCAAAACTACTATAGTTCACAAGAGATTTTTCACTTTACGCATTTTGTATTAGTTTAATGAAGCTAGAGAACAAATGAGACTTCCATATTTTAGTCCCAAAGGGGCTGTGCTCAACAAGATTATATCAAACAGTAGTATTGATCTTTCTTTGTTGCTTACGAATACACATGATGTGGATTGGGCAGCCTAATCATATGAAGAATTTTTCTTACAAATCAACTGTACAATTTTTCCCTTTTCTTTCCTAAGTTTTGTCAAGAAGTTTAAAGGTAGCTTTAAGAGAAAATAGGAATTTCATAACTGCTGTGAAAATTATCTCTTTCAGATAGTACTCGGGATTGTGTGAGCCTTCGGTTTGAACGAAATAAAACTGAATAGATGAAACATGCAGTGTCAAGAAGTCATCAAGATTAAGAGAGAAGGAAGGATAAAAAATATACAATATTGTCCTAGCGTGTCTAAACATGATTTGTAGAAATAAACTGAAAGCTGAAACAATCTCGAATATTATGTGAAAGAGATGATTTTCGTAGCAATTATCAATTTTTTTCTCTCTCTTATAATTTCTACCACTACTATACTCAATGTTCTCGTCTTTTACTGCTACTACTCCTTTCAGCGTTATAAAATGTGTGAAGCTGTATCGATATGTGATGGAATATAATGAGTTACCAGAAAAGCAGTTACATTTCTAGGCTGGACTAGTAGAATCGTCAGCTGACCTAAGAATCTCAAAGTTATCCATAGAATTCAACTGCGTAATTATACTCAGAAGAGAAAGACAAAAAGAATAACTATATATCGATGATTTTTGTGCACATCTAACTCTGGATATTTTCAAACGTTTTTTGGCGTGCATTTTTGCATGTTTCAGTCATCATACTGATGATGTCAGAAAAGATCTTGAACGATAATCATCAAAGAAGTTTAGAATAACCAATGACAGAATGATTTAACAAATTTGTTTATGCTTACAGTCAATTGATTGTTTATAAATACATTGATCTAAACAAAGCAGACAGGCAATGGAGAAATTGATTAAACATAAAAGAAGACTGATCGAGTTCTCAAAATTTTAGTTATGCATTTACGATTATTTATAACAACTAACGTAAAAATACTATAAGAAATCAATTCAATACTTCTCACAGACACATAAAAATTCGATTGGTGGGCCGGACGAATAGACTTCACTTGAATTTCGGAATTGAAGTGAAGTGAGTTTAAGTTTATCGTTGATACTCACGTGAATAACTATAGTAAACATTGTAAGAGGATTTCTTGTCTGTTTACTTTGCTATTGTAATATTATCTATGGATAATGACAAATGTTATGAGTAACTCAAACGTTTACTATCTTATATATAACACTCTATTTCACCTCTATCCTTCATCATTGACATATATCTCAATACGTGGCATAGACAATGAAATAAACTGAAAAAGAAGACACTGCTTATTTTTTTTCTCTTGGTTTGTTACTTCTTTTTGTTTTACGTTAACGTTTGGTCATAATAACTGAAAACCGACGAAAATGATAAGTGCATTTTTTCCAAACGTTATTTCTTTAATACTTGCATGAAATAGGTACAGCACTGTTTTCTTCGAATATTTTTTCGGGTGCATCCAGTTACGGATAAGGCATTGGTCTCAAGGTTTTTTGATCTCTATAACAAGATCGTTGATTTTGCAAAAGTGGTCTTTTACTGGAATTACAGGGTAACACTGAAAGTATTTTGAAACTGTTTGAATTAAGATTTTGAGATTGATTCGAGTCGAAATGGAATTTTATCATCCAAAATACTAAAAGCAAAAGCAAAACGCTTTTCCATAAACACAGAAGAAATCACCGAAAGAAAATGATGCGTGGTACGCTTCTGTATCAGATGGTCGTATTTCTTAAATAATGCACATCTTTATACATTCTGTTTCGATTTTCAACAGTAAATGCAAATCATATTGAAATCAAATAAAATACTTTGCAAAGCATAACAATTTCTGTTAATCGAATGAAATATAAATGAACTTCATTTCATGAATTTATTCTGTGTTTATATGATGCGAAAAGTTAGTTTGGGAGGAACTTTTTGAAAGAAGTTCGTTCAAATCCTGGCAAGATTGATAAGCTCTTTTTCCAGTTCTTTGATTTCATAATGTACAATAGTTTCCTATGTGTATATCGGCATTTCTAACTTGAATACGATGAGAAATCGAAGGTTTTCAGCATTAATCAAGCAAATATTTTAACGTGTTATGATACTCGACAGTTTGCTAACTTCATCCTTCAGTACCAGGCTTGAATCGATTGAACAGTGAACGATTGGTAAAACAACAAATATTGTCAAGTCCTCATCATCGCATGTAACATCATTTTGCGATTGAATTTCGATTGCTTAAGAGGAAAATACATCGAAAATTATATAGGCGTGCATCATTATTTGTAGACCCATACCCACATCCACACCCACATCCTGAGAGATAAAATAGAATAGAATCCAGAACTTTGAGTAAACATATGCACTAAACTTATCTTCATTCTACTCATAGTAATACTGCTGAATTTTTCGGATAGTTTTGACGTAAGATATCGATGCAAATTAAAGCTACCACTAGTAGTGTAAGTTGATTGGCTGAGCCATTGCTTTTGTGGCACATTACATATTCGACTTTTAACAGTTTTCAACGTTCCAAATTAGTTTTTTGAGAAGTCGCCGTCTTGCTTTTTGTCAATTAATTGTCTACCGTCGTCTTCTCTCTTTTTCATGTAAAAATTTCTCGAACTTGAAAATATTTCGAAAAAGTTCCTAGAACAAGCCACCATCGTCAATCAATGCATCGACTTCCACCTCTACTTATCATGCCGTATATGTCTATCGTACCTAGAGAAAATGAAGCTCGCCTATAAGACTCGTTGAAAAGTAGTAAAAATATGGCTGATATTCTATATCATTTACCAAGTATGCCGAATGTGTCGAATGGAACTCAACGTGTTCAAGAAAGGATAGAGCTCTCTTAGTGAAAGGCTTCTAAAAATTATACAGAAACGTACATTCGACATATCTGTGGAATGTGCAAGATATTTAAAAGCCACTTTGCTGTTCTCAAAAGCAAATGATGACGGAGCTTAGCCTTTTTGAATCGTTACCATTAAACACAATCCAAGAAACTTTTATTTACAAGCATAAACGCCACTGAGTATTTTATTTTATAAAATTGAGCTGGATTATAAAAATAAATTATAGAGATAGGTGCATCAATCAATGATATGTTGTTTGCAGTGAGTTAATCAGCACAGTTATGTGTACGTATATAGTTACTCAAGAAAACATTCATTGCTAGATGTTTGCAGCGATGACCGATAGAGTGATGGACATAAATAGATTCCAGCACGTAAGTCAATGTTCTTCATTGGCTTTACCAAAGCAGTAAATAATTTTATCAACAATGACTATTTTTTTCAAACTTACGTCTTGTTTATTGTCTTTGTCACCAATCCACAAATGTACACAGCTGCCGTCGATTCTGTAGGTAAAATTGTCATGCGTTAGTCGTCGTGTATTTTTCACGAGCCAGTGTTGTGTTTCATCTACTTGCACTGTTGTTAACCACTCAAATTCAAATGAACCATATGATAAAAAATGAAATCCATCAATAAATCGAGCCATCTGTCGACGAGATTGCATTTCACCATGTATATAGAGACGTTCGACCCGAGTGAACATGCGAAACAATCGTTTTTCATCCTTCTTTCCTATGAAACTATTCGTGTCAAAGTGCAAAATACGAATCTGTTCAAAAACATTAGTTTTTGATCCATTTGATGATAATGATGTTAATGCAAGTTCACGAAGACGTGGCATACTATCGGCTAATTGAACGAACTTTTCCAGCGATGCTTTCAAAGATCGTACTTGAGATAAATCAACTACAGAATGTAAAGTATCGAGTGGCAGGTACTTAGCTAACAAAAGTACTCTAACTTGAGGAAAGCGATGACGATCACTTAACAAATGTTGTTCATCGATTTTGTTTAATGCGAGTGTAAATATATGCTCATAGAACAGTCTTTCATCTGATACTGTCCGATAGATCGATGGCAGAAAGGATTCACACGCAGATGTTTCGGCAAAACGAGGTACAGTATAGATTTCATATTGATTACAGACAATAAACCAATGTTTTTCTTCGATCCAGAATGGGTTAGAAAAAGATGAGAGGTATTCTTGTTGTTTATCGCGTCCAAATTGTGAAAAGAGTTTAAATTTGAAATTGAATGTTTTTAGTTGAGATACTAGCATTTGCCATCGTAGACCATCACAAAGATCTTCATTACCTTGTGCTTGAATTTCAAAATGCTTTAAATGAGATAGTTTCGATAGTAGGAGTTCGATTTGATCAAGAGCCACTGAGCAATCTAGATTTTTGACAAAAAGATATTTGTGTTACAGAATTTTTTCGAGGAGACTACGGTTTTGAGAGATCAACGTCGGTTCTCTTCCTAATCAGAATCGTATGTGCTTCTGGTCGATTTAAAGACAATACAGTCCCTGTAGTTCAGAAATCGGTATTTGAAGGCATTCAATATGCTCTTTTTTTGTAAAATAACATCAGATGACTCGGAAAAAATATAACTTATGAATAATACAGATGCATGAAACAATATATTTGTTGGAACCAAGAATCTGATCGAAAGAAATACCACGATCGAACACTTATGATTTGATAATTAAGCTTACGCTGGAAGACGAGTTCATAATTTATCCTAAATGGAATCAAAAATACTTCCAAACGCAGCATGTTATGCAATGTGGTCCAAAGTTCTTATCAAGTAATTGTATCAAGTTAATCGTGAAACTCTGTCATAACTCTTCATGACTTTATTTAGAATATCAACTTTTGTCATATTAAATATTTCTTTATCGTACGATTTCATCATATCTAGCATACTTGGGATGTTGAATAAAAAGGCATAAGCAATCATTTTATCGCTTCTTACAGATACTTCCATCAGTCTTCTAATTATGTATTCTTTTATGATACTATGGGTTATTGATTATGTTTGCTGGTTTCACTGTTGATGATCTTTCATATAGTATGAAAGTCTCTTTAATTTTCTTCGGTTATCTCAATTCTATTGCCTTAGACCAACATTCTGACAACCCTATAAATCAAATCTTCCTTTGAAAAATGGTCCAATTGAATATGGCTACTTTTCGAGAAACAATGGCACTAAATAGCGAAATATAACTTACTCTCAATCTTGAGAATGAGTCGAATAAGAGATTGAGGTGGCATCTGATCATAGGTGAGCACAGGCCATACAGTACTTTCTTGAACATTAATGTCGAGCGATATCAGATTTGGTGCTAGATGAGAAATACGTTGGAAATGAAAGAACCAACATTCACCAAGTGTTAAATGACGAAGGCGAGAGAACGGCCGAGTCATTGTCGTAGTAGCAGTGAGATGTCGAGCATCATAAATGACGAGGCGATTGAGCTGAGGAAACAGTTGTACAATTGCATTATTGAATTGTTCAGACACTGAGTGTTCTTGAGTGAATTCCAATGAAGAGAGGAGTTTGAGTTGACTGAGACCGATACACAATGGTTTCAATGAATTCTTATCAATTTGAATTATTCGCAGAGATCGAAGCCGAACGAAGTGTTCAATGTCTTTGAAGTAAGAAAAAAATAATTTTGATTGGTCTGGTGTTTCGTTAGTGTCAGATAATGTGAGCGATATGACTTGATTAGGTCGAATATGGCGACAGACGAAATCGAATTGAGATTTACGACATGATTTAAAGTTGGCATAATATTGATCATAATTCTCAATGATGAAATCAAGATAAGAACTTAAATTGAATAATGCGTAGAAGATATCGTTAGCTAACAGATAGTTAAATATTGAATGAACAAGCTCGACAGGTAATCGATCGAAAAATGTTTGTGACATTCTTCTCTTTGATTTATCTTACAGAGCTTGATCAACAAGTGTCTAGAAAGTTCGAAAATAAAACTCATTCAAAAAAAAAAGAAAAAAAAAGTATGTTCTAAACGCAACAGCTTGCCACAATTGTATGTTTTCTTCTACTTGACATGACGGCATGCAAGTATACAGGTGAATAAATTATCTCAAACGTAAAAAGACGCATGATTCACGCTCTTTTTTACCTTCTTTTTATATTCACGAATGAGATATTTGAATAAAGTATGTGAATCATTGATTGGTTACCGGAAATATTGATGCGATCATCGATCGTGTTGCAATGAATTTGAAACAAACATTTTTCAGTGGCAATCTCATATTCTATGTCTTTATGACAATTTAGAGAGGTAGTTGAAATTGAATAACTTTATCTTTCTCTATTCTAGGCATCGCTATATTGTTCTTTTTATTCCTATCAAAGAACGAAATAAAAAAAAAGACGAAGAAAAAAATATACATACTCTTTACATCGTTTCTGCTTCAAAGCGTCCTCTCTGCTTCGACATAGAATGACATATCGACAGTGTTTCTTTTCCTTCGAAAGGAACTTTATCGAAAGAGAAGAGAGATAACGAGAAAAGGAAAGAAGCAAAGAATGCAGAGAAGATCGAATAATACATACGAGCACTTAAGCAAGAAAGAGAAAATAATCTGAATAAAAATACGTCGTAACTGACGAGCATAATCATTGGACCGACACATATCAAGAGCTTACTATTCATTTAGTGTACAATAAACTATGTTTAGTTTTATCAAAAATAATTAACTTACACATGATAATAGATCAGTCACTAGAGCAATCTACTGATTCCGCTACTCGACAATCGACACCTCAATACATTTATTCATGTGAAGACAATTTTGAAGTGGATAAATTGCATATGAATTTAAATCAACTATCGAGGACAAAATAGTAATATAGAAAAATATCAAAATAGTAGTAGTCATTCTATTTTCTCGATTTTTTATTAAAATTCAATGTTTCGATCATCTAACATAAGTGGAAAATGAGTACAACTTGTTTTGAGATGTAATACGTCCTTTACTAATTGTAATTTACTTTCTGTACATATGAATGTATTGTAATTGCTTTTAGTTAAAGGAGAGTGTAGTTTTTTTTGTCTTAATTTTGAATCACTGCAATAGTGCTCCATTATCAAGTTGTCTGCGATATGTTCGGCTAGTGTTTTTTTGTATTCATCGATGGATGCTTTCTTTTTTTTCTCTTGGTCTTTCTCTCTGTGTTTTCTTTTCTGTTTCTTCTGTTCTTTATTCATTCTAATTTCTCTTGTCTTCACGTGGTCGGTGGCTTTCCATTTCTCTCTCTGTTCGTTTTTTTTTGTGTATGGAATTCAATATTGAATTGCAAAAGCAGAAGTTGTCTGATTTATTCGCTATTTTTTTTGTCTTGCTGTCCGTATTTTTATTGTGTTGTTTACTATTATTTGTGCATTTTATTGTTTTAAAGTTAAGGAAAATTATCTTGGATAAAGTATTATGTTCCCTAGACTGAAAGGAGGGTCATATGAAATAAAATGCGTTTGTATGTATGTATGTATATATGTGTCAAGGTCAAAAGAACATCAGGGTCAAAAAGACATCGTCTGAAAGATTAATGCTCAGTTCTTTTCTACATCTACTTCTGTAAAGCTTGACCGAAGTGTAACGAAAAATGATCGAGATAATTGAAATCAGTAAGTTCTTGGCTTTGTCTTTGTTTCTGTTGATTTCTGCACACTTTCGTTACTTGTCGCTATCACTTGCTCTTTTATTTCAACAACACTATTCTTCTTTTACATATAAAATTGAGTCTATGGGCTTTTTTATTTCAAACTGAATTCTAAAATCAAAAAAACCACAATAATTTCTTCCGAATCAAACTTTTCTCGCTTGATACTACGTAGTCTCACTAAAAACCCTTAGTCCCCCCTAGTCCTGCAAAGTCCCCCTTAGTCCCCCCCACAAAAAGCTTAGTCCCCCCTTAGTCCCCTGTGCAGGGGACTAAAGCCTATAGTACACAAAGCCACAAGCACACCCTCACCCTCGCTCGCGCGCCCACACCCGCACCATGGGTGTGGGTGTGTGTGTGGGTCCCAGACCCACATCCACACCCTCAGTCACCCCCCCCCCTCACTCCTAGACTCACGTTTCAGTTTGAAATCAAGTATTATTTTTATTTGATAAATTCAGACTGAAATTAAATAGCCCATTGTATGATAAAATTATACACCACTATGTATATCACTCACACGCGTGTATATCGTTGTTCGATCTTGCTCCTACCGCTCACTATCATCAACTGTCTATATTCTCCACTGTTCTCTTTTCTCCTTCACCTTAACCTTCTCGTGAAGAGAGAACAATGTGCATATATGCAGTGAATAGTGCAGCGATTACAAAGGTATTGAAAAAGTATTGAACACTATGAACAGTATTACGTAAGGATACAAGGTTGACATGAAGTAAGAATGAAATAACGTAAGGATGATGTCGCATACTAGTGATAGCCTGTCACATCGGTGTATCTCTTGGAACACGAAGGTTTTCAGGGGTCGAGAAATCTATTGATACCATTGGTTTTTGAAAATTTTCAAATGGATTTTTTTTACTAAAAAAGGCTTTTTCTACAAAAATAATGATTTTTTATAAAGTTTGACCAAAGGTTTTCGGGGTCGAGGAATCGATTGGTACCGTTGGTTTTTGAAATTTTTAAAATGATTTTTTTCACTTAATAAAGGATATTTTAACAAAATTATAATTTTTCATAAAGTTTGACTTAACGTTCGTGAGAGTGGAGAACTCGGGTCCATCAATCATTTCTTAAGATCAATGAATCCGAGGATCACAATGTGGGATGTCAATTCTCTCA